TGCAATGATAGCTGCTCTGCTCCTCTTGCGCTCAAGGCTAACCCATCCAATCGTTCTACTGTGACCAGTCATCAGAAATCACGCTTCTACAGGAACCACGGGAATATGCCAGTCTGGTGTGGCCAATTTGCTTAGGCAACTTCTCAGTGTCTTAACTAAACTAAACGTAACTGCTTGAATAAATAAAATAACAATGTGTCCTGAAAAGAGAAGAAAGACAGGGCAGGTAGTGTTGACAGTTTTAAACGAGAGAAGGGATGTCTACCTTTGTAGGTGGCTGTGGTCTTGTGTAAACTAGATCGTAGCTGATAAAGACCATCGTCAGATCTATATTGACCGAAAAATTTTAAATTATGTGAATTTAAACAGATAAGCACTATTTTTTGTAGTAGGAAATATAAATATCAGTAAATATTGCATGGGTCACATGTTAATTTTTCCCTGACCTTACAAAAACATTCTCAAGTTTTTTGAACATATCGGAAAAATATTTAATTCATCTAAAATCCCCCTTTGCCGTAAGACAGATATTCAAGCTACTTTCCCCGATTTATGTGAAGTTATTAAGAGTACTATTGGGTATAACCATGATACTGCATTAATCCTTTCTCACAATAATATCCTTTTTCTATCTTTCTATCAAGATGATGATTAGGAGAAAGAATGTTAAAAGCCAGAAACAGTCCTGAACATAACACTCTTTTTTTATTTAAAGAGTTTAAACACCACCTGATGAGTTTAAAAGTAGATTCCTTCAAGGAAGTAGTTTGCACCAGGTGAAATGCAGAGCAATCCTTACAAAGAATGGCTTCCAGCACCCAGATACACAAAATTGCCAAACTACCTGGCACAGCAATACAGGGATCATGCTTTAGCATTACCTTTCTGAGAAGACCAGGGGATAGTTGCCTGCTCAGATGACTATGTGTGCTGAGTGCTGCAGCTAAGCTTATTATCCTGTGGCATTATCTTCACCACTGTGGATGTCAAAGAGGATTTCTCCTGCCAGAGCACCGGAGTGAATGATTATGTTTGGTTTGGGAGGGATATCTTACTCTGTACTCCCATATAATATTAAGAATTGTCTGTCCCTAAATTTACTGAAATCCTGACCATACTTAAATTGACATGCAATTTGAGTTAAATTTATTTTCTACCCCTTCAAGGGAGACAGATTTTTTTGTTTCTGTTTATTTAAACTGCTGTTGAAATTGGTTAATTAAAAGGATTTAAAAAATCTTAATACTCTAAACAGAGCAAACTGGTTCTGAATTATTAAGCAACATTTTAGATGCATTTAAATAACCTTAAGTGACTTAACTGCCACCTGATCCTAAGCTGTGGCTCAGAAAAATGAAATGTGAAATACTGTAGAAGTCTTGGCTTACCAGCGCTTCCAGATACAGTAAATAAAGAGCTTAAGTCTCTAATACCGTGTCTGCAAAAGGCGTACTCTCAAATACATAACTGGCGCTCCACCTCAAGGAGAAATGAGCAGAAGAAATTGTAGATTGCAATTTTGATTTTTCAGAAGAAATTAAATTCAGTCTTTCAAAAATAGTCTTTCAGAAGAGAGAGCGTGCCAGGAGCTCCCTTTCTGACAGATACCATAAAATATTCACAAACATATCATGAACCCGAGCGGGGAAGCTGAAGCCCAGTTTGGGTAGATCTGTTCTGCACATTCCTCCTATAGTTTCAACTGGACACGGTATGCTGTCAGCTTCTTGCCTAAAGTGTGGCAAAATGCACAGTCCATAAGATGTTGAAGAGTTTTAGGAAGACTTCTGCAGATCTCCACCACAGAAGGAAGCGAGGAACTGATCATCCGGGAGGTCTCCAGGGGACTGGGAGAAGGTGGATCTCGCAGCTGGTGGACTGAGAGGACTACTGCCATTAGTGTTTGGGAAAGCTTTTAAGAGAAAGGGACTTAGAAGAAATACTGAATGAGAAAGCTCACTGAGCATGCTAATATGCTTAGGGCAAGCTCTTTTTATTACAGTTAAATGTATTTTGAAGACTAGAGCAACTCTTGGAAGAAATATAATTTTAAAACCAGCACATACATTTCAATAGCTTCCATAAAGCTTTTGCAGGTGCATTTAAGAATAACGCAAATAACTTACAACACAGCTTTTCACTCTGAAAGGTGTGCCTGCCAAACGTTTCCGAAGTCAGAGGTACGAGTCACCTGCTGACCCAGGTTCACCCATGTACAGGGTCTGCAGCGCTGCCTTGGTTAAAGTACCGAGCGAGGAGGTGGGTAATAGCTCATTTCAGCGCCAGTAGAAAGAACAACACAGTCGGTGACAAAGACCCAATAACAAGTCACTGCATGCGCTTAACTGCTGTGGAATGTCACTGCTGCTTTAAAATCTACACGTAGTGTCTGGAAAAGGTTAATCTGTGTATTTACTCATGTGTAGAAGTTTGTATTTACAGTAGGGTTATGATACTAACTTTAAGTTAGCTAAGGATATCTGTGTAAGCAACTGGAACATAGAACTAAGAACTAATGAATTTTTATTTACCAAAGTAGTAAAAATACGTCAACACTGTATTAGGACTGATGGCTCTGAAAAGCAGGTAAAAATGCTCTAAAAAGTTTACCCCAAGAAAATGCTGATTTGGTTGACAATAATCCCCTCATTTTTCAGTAAGACGGAAACACTTTTGGGGGTGTATATGTTATTGTAACACAGATCAGGACAGAACTAAAGATATTAACTTGAGAAGACGTGTTTTCATCTTATTGCAGCAAAAACACCAGCAAAGTAATTCTGACACTTTCAAAACATATTAAAAAAAAGTTGTGTATAGTTTAAATACAAAAGGATTTTTTAAGTGCTATTGTTTTCTGCAGCACAAGCATCTCAAGTGCTCTGTTCTTTTTGCACAGATTTCAGTGGACGTTTGTGATATGTATCATATAGCGGAAGGGTCTTGACAACTGGCAGTGTATTTTTAAGAGTCTATATACCACAAAGCCTAAGGAAATTAATATATACTTTTACTGTACTTCCAAGGCATTCATCAATGACTTTTTTTTTTTTTTTTAAATCTGCCTATGGAGTTGCACGCTTCCAACTTCCAACCCTGGCGAACATGGCAGATGTCACTTACAGTTCTCAGCAGTTAGCAAACCCCTGGGGATTATATTTTGTCTGTTGTAGCTCTGATGATCACAACGGCAACCAGATTCATACACAGCCACTGAGTCAGTCGGCATAAATCATTTATGTGACTCCTCATACCTGGCATTATGAGGTTGGAATCACAGAAGAAAGCTGACAGGGTCTTTGCTTCCCATGCAACAGACCAACAGCTCCGTATCCTGCCATTAAATTCCCCTTTCTTTGCTTCAGCGTTTTCTCCCTGACAGTTTCACAAATGTACTGAAAATACCAATCTGTTCTCATTTAGTGGTCTTGCTTTTTTCCTGCTCCTTTCTTAACTTGTTCTTATGTGAGTTGTCTGACCAATTTTTTTAGTGTGTTACAGAAGAGTAAAACTAATGATGATGATGTGGTTATGTACAGAAACAGTCTAAAGTGCAAAACAAGTGTAAATAGAGCAATATACTTGTAGGGTTTTTTTATACTAAATATGTACTAAGACATAAATGTGTTATAGGTAGGGAGGTATGACTTGCAGAATATTTAGAATACACAAAAACATTACTTAGACTGTAAAAGATTGCTGTCAAGCAAACTGAATGATCAGTAATCCTAGAAAAACTTCTAGTCTTTGGTTCACTGGAAATGATATTACATGCTTAAGGAGTCAAGTTAATTAGAGATTAATGAGATTCTTTAAATGCTGCTTTCAGTCTGACTGATTAGGATTCTCAATATAAGACAAGGTGGAAGAAAAGCTGTAAGCACCACAACCCTGTTCATAAAGTTATGCCAAAAATCACTGGAAATCACATCCACTCCCAAGGTTGTACGTTTGCTAAGGATGTTATTTTCTTCCCCTTTTGGAGTACTTGCGCCACTTTAAAAAACTTACAAACAAGATGATAAAGTGAAAAGTTATTGAGTTCCTTTGATGGAAAAGGGCTTAACCATCCACCTGGAGATGTCCCCAGCAAACAAAACCTCGGCTGAGCCAGAGCTGCCCCACTCATTTGCAGTACTGAGGCAGTATGGCCAAAAAGCTGCCAAACTTCACCCATCACTGCTTGGCTCTCTTCTGTCACCTCTGTAGTGCCCGCTACCTTTGCCTTTTATGCAGGGCCCCAGGTCTTTGCTGCACAGCTGGACCCACTGACTGTTACCTTTGCTGTAGCAATGGCTAGATAAGAAATGAAAGTGAATTTGTAATAGAGTGACAACATATATATATATAGGTATCTTTTCAAAGAAATTTAGTAACCAGCATATAAATATCTGTTGATAAACCACCAGAACTGAACTTGCTTTTGTAAGCAGCATTGATTTTGAAAATGGGTCACAGCAGGTACATCATTAGAATTCGGAGGTAGCAGGTATTTATAAATGACTGTTTACTGGTATGATGGAACAAGTGGATGAATAACTTGTTAGAATGTACTGATTAGCTCATAACCATTTACTATCTGACACCGAGCCTTCCTTGCTCATAGCAAAAAAACTGCATCAAAATGGCAAACCCAGAAAGATCAGAGATACCAGCCCATAACAGACTAAACAGAGAACTAATACCGGTGCTGCTTCCTTCAGAACAGGACGTGAGCAATGCTGGCTCAGTGTATTAGGGCAGTTTTCACTGAATGTGATCCACAACTTGTTTGTTTCAGAAACGGAGGATTTTTTTTACAATGTCACTGGAAACAGATTTCACACCTCTATTTTGTATGTAACGTATGATAACACTAGGAGGTTAGCACTTGACTTGCCTAGAGCTTGGCAGGACTCTTAACACATTCAGGCAAATCTTTTACCTTCTATGCTGTAACATACTGGTCATCTAACATACAGAAGTACTAGTATTTATTCCTGAAAGGTACATTTACTCACATCTCTCCTCGGAAAGGTGCCCAGCAGCTTGTACTCCTCCCAAGGATATCCCTTGGAAGCTACAAAATCAAAGACAACCTGGAGCTTGCTGCTGGCCAGGAAACGTCGCTCAAAGAATTCTCCCCTGGGCGTCCGAATACGGAGTTTACTGACAGACTCGGTGCTCTCCTCTTTTGGTTCTGGGGGCAAAGACTGCTCCAAAGAGAGCCTGATAGCCTGGGGAAGGAAAAAGAATCATTTAGGTTGCAATGTTAACAACAGAAAAAAAGGACAGAGAGCTTTTTTGCTTTATTTCTTCTAGAACTTCAAGACGTGCTGCAGTGCTCCAGAGCCATAGATGTGCTTTATATCTCAGTGACAAAATCATTTTTATTCATTCCTTAATAACAGCCCACCAGACAACTCATTAAAATAAATCCTTCTTTATAACACATATTATTAGGTCTACAGTTAATGCACGATGGGGATAAGTAATTTAATCATTTGTCAGAAAGCCTTGGAAAAAAAATTTGAATGAGAGAATAATTGTCAAGTGGCCAACTGCTTCCTTAAAGGGTATAAATTAAAGGCAGTAAAAGTATTTCTTCAAATGCACTTATCAATTTGCCTTCCTCTGGCACAGAGTAATTGACCGTTTGCAGCAAAGATGAGACCCTTAGTAGCAGTTCAGAATAAAAAGAAATATTTGCAGGAGATTTACTATAAATAATCTAAAATGCTGCTAAAAGACATAATTTAAAATATCATGGAGGCACATGACATACATAGAGTACATACAAAGAACAGTTAAACAAGAAAGCTGGGAGGACAGAAATGGGAGCTTTGAGATTTAAACCAAGCAATTATCACTGTTATTTGCAGGAAGATGATTCCAAGCACAGGTGTGCACACTTTCTGCAACAACGTGGATGAAATCAGCCCCAATATGGTAATGGCTGGCCACATTATGCGTCTGAAAACGTGTCTGTCTGTCTTCCTGCTAACATTGTGTACGCTGCTGATGTTTAGACTTTAAGGGCAGGAGCCAAGTCTGTTTTCCCTGTCCTCTGCCTCCGAGAGCTACTGACAACACTAATATTTTTAGTATTATTTTTAATTTTAATTGGTGCCTAATATTAGACTGCTGAACAAGGTGGGCTTGATTTTCGAGGGTACTGAGCGCTGTCAGTACTCCTGAACAGGCAATGGCATCTTTTAAAAATGAGACCATAATTAGCTAGCAGCCTTGTTCCAGTGTCAGCTCACTGGAGGCAGCAGGTAATGAGAACGTCAGTGAACGGACGAAGCAGCAGGATACACCTAACAGACAACTTTTCAAACGGAAGAGGCAGTCAGGATTTAGCTAGACCATTCAAGGAACTGTCAAGATATACAGTTGCTATTTGTGCCTTTGAAAACCTCCCCAAGGTCATTTAGTAACAGCAACTGATGGAGATGATGACATTAAAGAGAAAGGAATGGGCAGAAGCAAGATTCCGACGGCTTTTAAATAGTCTGCTTCTTACCCACGAACCTCTGAGCAAATTATATCTCAGTATAAATATTTATACATAGAACTTGAGTTCATTTTTGCTCATCTACTATGAGATTATATTTTAAATAGATTCTATTTTAATTTTCTCTCTCTCCATTCTCAACCACCTGCTTACTATCTTTCTGTTTTGACATTTCCCCACACAGTGTAACAGCAGATGCTACATTATTTACTGAACCCAATCAATTATAATATAGAAAAATAAACAACAGTAGCTCATTAGAGCTCTTTTCTTTGTGCAAAGAGTGCGTCGCTCCCCAAAGTAACTAGTCTCCAAGGCTTCAACATAAAATGGCAATTTACAATGGATATTCTGTACCAGCAAAGCAAGTCAGAAAACAATGATGAGAAGGATCACATTAATAACTCTTGGACCTGAACAAGCAATTTCACTCTGTTGATAAAAAGATGTTCAGTATGTGAATAGCTCAATAGTCCGATTTTAAATATACAAACTGAACACAAAGCCACTTCCGTAAGTAAACACTGTTGCAGAACAATTCAGGATAAGTAATCTGTATACTTGAAAATGGGGAGTGTTAGTAAACATTATTGTTAAAATCCCTTTTGTTCTACTACGCAAACAGATCCTATTATTTTCATTACTGAGCTCTACACTAAAACAGGGAAGCCCAGGTGTTTTTTGATAACATGGACCAGTCTTGCAGCCTTTGCCTAAGAAAACAATTTCCAAAAGGCCAAAGTACCAGAAAAGGTTCAGGAGCAGATATAATAAAGCAGAATTAATTACTGTTTCTATGTGTGCAAAATTGCTTAAAAAACAAAGACCTACTTCTTACCAGAATCTGAGTGTGAGCTGATAGCTCAGCAGTCCGAGACTGCTACAGTACTGCTCTATGTTTGATTGCAATTAACCTCACAGAATTGCCGTCTTACAGTTATTCTTGATGCATTTCTCACAGTCCAGTTTTGTGCACTGCTCCTTCAGTTTTTAGCTTCCATTTTTGGCTTATGTTAACAACAGGAGCTAAAAATGTCATCAGATGCTGTAGGATAATAAAGAAGTGGGCTGCATCTTTCTCAAACCATTGAATACTACTGTTTGGACTGAATTTAGTATTTACAATGCAATACTGTTTAAAAGGGTCTTAAATGCTTAAATGGTTCTCCTTTTTAAATGCAATTATCTTGGTCCAAAGATATATATGCAAATGCATTGCTCATACAGTTTGTTTATTGGGTTTATCTCCGGGAATAATAAATGTGTTCACAGCCAACTTTTTTGCAGTTGTATAATGCAATTTTTAAATACATCAGCAAAGTACACAAGACTAAAATGTCAAGTATACATTTAAGTCACGTGTGTGGGGGGGAAAAGCAAAGCTGTGATCTATCAGGATTCCATGAGTTCCAAGGACTTTAACTAAGTGGAGAACTAAATGAGAATAATTGCAAATTTCAAATCTCCATAATCCGTGAGAGTCAAAGCAAAGAAGTTATATTATGTCCACCAAAAATACTGGAACTCTGATATTTTATATGAGTTGATGAATATATTAATAAATATTTTTTAATATTTATAGTTTACCTATATTTGATATAATAATGGAAACATACCCAGGTAAATATATATTCAATAGGGATGCTGATACAGCTTTATATTCATTAGCAACTTGCTCACAGAATCTTATATGCTATGAAGTCAAAGGACAACCTCTTATCAACTCTGATTTCAATCAAGACATTCATATGTGAATATCACTTATTTTGAAAATAATATTCAAGGGTTTCAAAGTCCTTTTAAAGGTTCAGCTGTGTTTCACAGCAGTTCTGCAAGGACTTACATTTCAAGAACTTCACAGAACAGATGTAAATGTTTTAATGACTCGTCTGTTTTACATATCCTTCTAAATGTGGTGGGGGTTAGGGGGAGAACCATGGCTGGGGCCCAGCCTTTTCGCCATATTTTGTATTTGCCAGGAGGTGAAAAAGAGAAATTCATTAATATAAGTAAATTCCTGTACATGATGCTTTATGTGAATACCTACACAGACACACAGCTAGGACAGGAGCTAGCCTAGAGCCTAGAAGAGGCTGCAGGAGCTGTCTCTGACAGGTACTGAGGCCCTCACAATCTACCAAATTGAGAGAAGCTACAAAATAACAGAGTTTGAGGGACAGTACTCTTCAGAACAAATGTTTTCTGTTTTCTTATATAAGCCTAGGGACCTGAACTGTTCATTTAAACACAATTTTCATTCTAAGGAAGATTCTGCAGAAGACTGTTTAGAAATTGAAAAATGTACCATAGACCTGCCTTTCCAGATTTTTTACTTTTTTTTCTTAAAAATTTTTTTTAAAAGTGTTTTGTCTCCCAAATTACATTTGGCAATTTGTCTGATGAGAACTGCAGTGAGGCTGCAAATGAAAGGGCTCCATGGTATTATATTTTTAAAAGGAGCGCCTGCAGAAACAAGGTTAGAAGTTCCCAAAGATTCCATCATTTACGGATCTCCTGTTAATAGTCCTGTTTAATATCTGGCTGTAATTTAAACCCAGCTGATGTAACTGTGACCCAGAAGACAGAACAGAAAAGTATTGAACAGCAGATGAAAATTATTTAGCTGCACTATATTTTTATATATACATGGTAAGAAAATAATAAAAAAACTAATTTGATGTTCACATAAAAAGTATACTTTGAATTAAAGTTGCAATGTTCATGACCTTCATGAATCCACAAAGTTGTCACAAAAGTGAAAACATCCCACCTCACGTTCTTCCTCCTGTTCTTTCCGGATTTGTTCCAAGCGAAACTGCTCTGCCATTTCTCTCTCTTGTGCTTCCCTCTAATAAACACAAACAGAAATCATACATGTATCACCTCACTTTCCACAGCCATGTTTAATGATGTGCATCAGGTATACAAAAGCAAAGAAACTTCTCAACTTTTCTGTAGAAATTAATATAAGAAATATATTCCTATCATTCCTTTCCCAACTTTCTATTAAGTGGGGCCAAGACTGCTTTAGCAAAAAGATGTAGTCAAGTCCACTCCTAATGACTGTATCTAGGGCCATTTTATAACCACTGAGGGCAATTATGGCTCCTACAGCAACTGTCTTGTGTTAAAAGCAGGACTGAAGGTGGGCAGTCCTCTGCACCAGAGAGATTTCACCAGCTGTGGAGAGATTCCCATCCTGATGTTCACGCAACCACCTCACCCTGCACACACCTTCGCTCTGTCAGCCTCCAGTGATATGCGGTACGCTTCATCCTGCTCTCTTTTCACGTTTTCTCTGGCTTCACGTTCATCCTAAAAAAAAAAAAGGTAAAGAAAATGAACAATATCAGCAAGTTTTGGGCCAATATGATATACACCTTTATGTCCACCAGCACTCTTCAGCTCCAGTGACGTCACGATATTTGACTGCCTCCCCTATCTCACTATTGCCAGGAGAAATGATTTCAGAAATGCCTCAAGGGCGACCTTGGCTTAAAAAAATCCGACTTACCTAAAGCTATGTTTCAATGGCCATGTAATGGATTGGCGTGTCCAGACCCCAGCCTGCGGGCTGGATCTGGCAGCCGGGCTCTTTGCCCCACTGTCTTCACCACAGCCGTGGCCGGTTCAACCTCCTCCTGCCCCAGGCCAAACCTGGGCTGGTGCTGGGGAGGATCTTGCAGGGATCTCACTCCTGCAGCTGACAATTTGGACGATCTTGTAACAGGGAAGGACAGACTGAGGTTTAAAGGCTAAGGCTGTGTTTTAATTTGCTCTCCGCTCAGACTGACAGCAGTTAACGGCTTGGCCTGCAAGAGAAGGTCTCCTCCCAGGTCTCTCCTTGGGAAGAACACCCTCAGTGGGATCCATCCAGGGTCGTGACCACTAAACATCAGCCAGAAGCCTCAGTTCACATTGTGCTGAATATTATACAAAGACAGGAAAGCAGCAAGTCCTGCTCTGAAGTGTCTCAAATACACAGATGCCGGCAGATGAGAAACATGAGGCTAGCACGCCAACTTCAAACCAGCAAACCCAGCAAAGTATCTTATTAATGATCACAGCATAAAAAAATAAGGGTTTACTAAAAATATGTGAATGACAAAGGGTGGCATCATCCATACGGTGAAGGATCACGAGGTGGATATCCCCAAAAGCTGGAATAACTGCCCTGGAGTGATGTCTGACAAAGCAAAGTGTACGATCAATAGCTTCATGCTCTGCCTCTGGAGCTGGAGACAGCGGCTGCTTGCCTGCGCTTACTCCTCTTACATCTTATAATCCTCCCAGAGCCCTGCAGAGCTGCACTGGTCCCTACAAAAATCAATAAGATTTAGCTGTGAGATTGCTGGTGGGCTCAGCACGGTCACCAGTAGTTACCACTAACACAGCACGTGCACTGGGGTTGTCTGTCCCCTGTGTTTCTTAGAAATTAAAGACTTCTACCTACTGCTTTCCGAAGAATTATGTTATTTTTTTTCATTAATCTGCAAGGTTGATTCCACATAAAGGCATAATTTTGCAAAGTGATCAGTTTTCTCCCCAAAACTTCATTTCTTGGCAAAAACTCAATTCTAAATGGCAGGAGCACACGTTACCTGTTACTGTCATGTCATGCAAACATTGAAGATGTTCCTCAAACAAACTCTAATGTTTTAGTGGTTAAAAAGCTCTGAAGTAGAATGCAGCCACAAGAGGAAAGGACAAATTGCAGGAAAAGGTAAAAAACATCCAGTTGGAAAGTAACAGGATCCTTTCAGAGGAAATTCTTCTTCCTTATAGAAACAGGACCCAAGATTATTCTACAATCAGTGTGTCTTAAATTTCATTCACAGAAGACAGAGAAACCATCAGTTTGCTCAGCAAAGCTAAAACATGAGTAGAAGCATTTCTTGCAAAATGCTCAAAGGACAATAACCACCAAATAACCCATTCTCTTCCTGGCTTCTCTGGACCCTGCCAAGCTTTATGGACTATGTCCATGGAATACCTTCAAAAATTAATTGCAACCTGAGAGCAGAAACTACCCTACGTTAATATTCCATTTCTGAGAAGAGGGGGTGTTGAAATAATTAAATAGCTCCGATTTTTATGTTATCTAAAAATGAGGTAAGCTTCTTGAATACACAGAGGTTTTCCCAACTCTTCTCACAGAGGGAATGTAACAGTAAAGGAAAAGGTTTTGTACTGCCTATACCAAGGCTTTCCATAAGCATACATAAATTTATCTGAGAATGGTGAGAAACAAAACCATCTTCCCAACCTGACTGACTAAAGGAAGATAGACTTCAGGCAATCTGTCAGAGGACAAGCATAAAAAAAAAAAAAAAAGAATTGCTTTGTAGAGAGTCTATTCAGCTTTCATGTTTTGCAACTTCATATATGATACACTAACCACACACTAACTGCATTTCAAAGGTCACACAAGTCCAGTAATGCCCGAGAGAAAACAGAAAGACCAGATACAACTATTGCAACTGCAGGCTCTTTCCTTCATCAAAGCTTGCTAGTGATCACCATATAGTTACTTTAGTTTACAAAAAAAACCCCCAAACAAACCCAAAACAAAACCAGCCCTCAAAAAGTGAAAATTAAAAAAATTAGAAAGAATGGTTAAAAACTCAGTCCAAAAATATACACTAATCAGAGTTATAAGAAATTGAGTACTGGCTTTTATTTTACATTTTACAAGCTGTCTGGAAAACTCCAGGAAGTTGTTACAAGTTACTTTTGATGGGCACAGGATTCATTTACCTACAGAGAGCTTTACTGAAAAATTTTTGAAATTGGTTTAACTTCTATAATCTGCATGATAACCTGCAAAAAATATTGATGCTATATATTCTACAACAAGAATCGAAACATGAATTCCAGGCATTTTAAATGAAAAAATTATTTCCTCCCTATTCATCACAGTTATCATCGTCCTAAAAGTGGATTATGAAAAAGATGTCAGGAATGTGAGGAATTACTATGCATGACTGCCCAGTCCTCACAGAAATATGTGAGCCACATCTAAAAGTAAGTGACCATGCCACCGAGCTTTACACTGCATTGAAACAATACTGTTCTTAATGAAAACAAACTTTAAAAACAAATCCAGAGTCCAGATTTCTCTAGGTAAGAAGCAGATGCAATCCTACGAAATATCTCTTTGTACCTACTTCTGTGTTTTATTAATACTGCTCACACTCTACAGGAACCACCTCCTCTATGGAGGTGATGGAAGAATTATAATACTGTCTGGTTCAGAGTTACACCTTAGACAAATTTTAAACATTAGATACTGCAGTTCTCCTTTTTGTAATGCAGTTTGTTATTTTAGTCACCTCTTCCTCCAGAGAAACCATACAGAGTATGAGGATGACTCAAGTTTACCAAAAGCAACAAAGGAAAAGTCATAATGGTGACAGAAAAAGCAGAAGAAAATGTTTTGCAGAGAACCTTTCATTGCACTAAGAAAGATCACAAAAAAAGGTCATACCACTAATAATTAATTTAAAAAGTGTCATAAGTATTTTACAGCTTCCCTGTTAAACCCTACATGGATTGCAGCATCGACTGAACATCAATAAACGCATCTCCACAATACTTTTGCAATGAGGGTAAAATTGCCATCTTCCTTTTTCAAGAAACAGACAACAGCTTATCCCAGGTCACTTGAGAAGCCTTCATCAGAAACAGGGATTACACCCAGCATTTCTGAAGTCCACAGCAGCAACCAAAGGCTGCTGTGAACATAAACCACCCACATCCCTGGGGTTTTGGGCAGGAGATGGGAGACAACTCTCCTTTACTCCTTAAAGGGAAAAAATCACAGATCTCTGCTTTCCCATTTTGACAATGAAACAATAGGGGGGGCATCCATTCAATGGAGAGTTGATACTTTAAAAAAAAAATTGCATTTATCCACAGAATATATTCTTCAGCTATGAATTTTCTTTGCTAATATGCATATTCCAAAGTCATAACAAAAACAGTGAACACTTATATTAATGAGATAGTTACAATGGACCAGACTCAACGTTCTCTTGAGTGATACCCAGAGCTACAAGACTAAGAAAACCTTATCTCTAAGGTTAACAAGAAATTTAGGGTAACTCCAATAATTATTCCCTCAACCATTTGTTAAGGTTACCCCTGAACCACCTAATAGCAGGCATTTTCAGATGCAGGATGGTGGAAACAGGGGATTGCATTTAGGACAGCAATGACCCCTTTTCCTCCAGATTACATAGGGGGAAAATACACAACACATTTGGCTTTTTGGATTGGTTATTTTACTGGAGAAGTCAGCATTGCTCCTTCTGGGCTTTTTTTTTTTTTTAAAATCATTGTTTCGTAAGGCAGGATTTAATGATTTAACTCCAGGAATCAGCCTTGCACCTGATTTGTTTCAGGGAGATGTGTTGTACTTCATTCCCCATTGCCCTTTGGGATCAGTTTTACTGTGAAGTAAAACCAGACAAGACAGAACTTGAGAAGATAACCATGAGCAGAAGACATTTCTCAGAGCATCAGTGAGTAAACGGCTGTTACAAGAAAGAAAAAAAAAGAGTGTATTTACAAATGCTGAATGCTTATCTGAAAGACAGTTCATTTCACCGAGCCACTCCTGAAATTAAAAACTGCGAGTGCTTAAGGCTATTCATGGGAGCGTTAAAGAGAAACACCCCTTTGTCCAAACAAACCAGTGCAAGAAAGACATTAATTTGACTCACTAAGATGACAGACTTGCACATTGTATAACTTAAACATACATGATGGGGAATATACAGAAGGAAAAAGTGTACACAGAATGTGTTGGGCATATGAGAATGATGAAGACAAAGCAAACGAAGGTTTCTGCAGTGGCAGAACCTCAGGGGGGGAGCCTGGACAGGGCAGGGCGAGGGGCAGAATGATGAAGAACCACAGGAGGGTCCTGCCTGTCTATATCGAAGGCTGAAAGCCCAGTTTCAGATACCAATTTTTGGGAATCACCTCAAGTGACAAGAAAGAATACAAACCCAAAATCTTCAAGAAGCAGTCCTGCAGTGACTTTCCACGGGAAATGACCCACCCAGTCCTGCTACAACATCCACCCACCTGGGCGCTTAGCAGGGAAAGCTCCTGTTTATTGGGAGAAACTAAGTGAATAGTCAGTGACTGGAACCATCAATATGTGTAGCCAAAAAGACACCTGAAATAAAGATATCCTCATTTTAACTTTTCTCTCTTCTGTCATTACCTTGTGTTTTGTCAAAGTTCAAAATAAACTCTCAAAGGCGGCACTGGGATCTGCTGGTGTGTCGGTGCAGTGAAGTGCGCAA